ACCCTGGATGCAATTTTCGTGTAACGGCGTTGGCTAGACCACTCTTCCCGAGATTCTTCGCGCTACGCTCCTGCCCTTTGATCTCTCGCTTCTTACAGCCCTTTTCGACCGGTGCGCGGAATAGCGCATTGAACGCATAGAACGGTTGGATATTGTGAAAGTTTTACTGTTGGTTGTTTCCAAGGTAGTTCTTGGAGGTTGTTGGTGTCGTATGTTGGTGTTGAGTGCGTAGTTTTTGGGAAGTGATAAATTGAAGTTAATTTGAAGCGTGATTTGTGTTGGACAATTTTTTGAGGTTATGTATTATGACGGGTTGAAATGTAGATAACTAAAGACAGATAACTGAATTAAACGGGATTATTTTCTTAATGAACATAACTTTGAAATTTTTAAAATTAATAACAATAACTTTTTTAAACTGAGTATTTCGTATATATTTTATAATTATTCTGTAGCGATTTTTAAATTCGTTAAAAAGACGGTTCAATGAAATATATGTAATAATTTGATTTTTGTAAGAAAATATCATTGTGTACGTTATTACTTATTTTGTTGCATTAAAAAACAAAGTAAACTTCTTCTAAAAAAATTTGAACTTCTCTTAAAGTCCAAGCAAGATTGGTACACAACTAAACTCGAAGATCCACCATCCCTACATCATGACTATGTTACATTCTTCCCGTAATCGAGCCACAAAATCTACAATAAACACGATTATCAGGGGATAGAGAGGAGGAAAAATACGATCTTAACTGTGAAGCTCTACATTTCACCGGGACGAACGAACCGCTCGAGCCGCTCCCATTCGAGGTTAATGCCCATCGCGGAATAGAGGGATTTTCCTTGAATCGACCTCATAAGCTCCCGAAGATCCTAAATTTATTGCCAGTAAAACCTACTACGAATCGTCCGCGTGTTTCAAAGTCGCAGCTATACAGGCAGACATCTTATTAGCGGATCGAGAGGCATCGTTGTACGAGTCAATTTCTCTGATCGCCATTAAATAGTTCTTATTTAATTAGAATGTAGTCTATTTTATGCAGTTTGTTATTGTAGTTTTTTTCGTCAATGTTTTTCCATTTAAAAATTAGGAAATAATCAACGCTATACGTCTTCGAAATTTTGAATCCCTTATTTTTAAACACCCTGTATAATTCCAGCAATGCACAGCTTTCCATATATTCTAATTTTATAATGTTCAAATTCATCGAGAATGTTGCACTCATATTTTCCCTGTAGTTACCAATAACTAACCTAATCTATAATCTTATAGTGATTTTTTACAAGTGCACTACTTAAAATCTTCATAAACGTACAAACATTCACGACTGTATAACCTCACAATGCGTAAAGATTCTCTCTCATGAACGACCGTAAATACGAGTAACACCAATTATAACCTCAAACGTAAATAATATCACTGCAGTATTATTCAAGTCATGAAACACCAATCGATACCCTGTACGTAACACGAAAACACAAATTCGCGTCTCTTAATAGCCGTAGGTGTCAAAATCGAGGCGATATCGATTCTCGCGTGACCGTTCGAGCTCGCCCTTTACACTCTCACCAGAGTGAACACGACGATAGAGCGTGGGTTATGTCTCGAGGCTGATCATTATTGGCCGGAAACGTGGGCCACGCTGTCGAAGCGCTTCCTCGCCATCGGCCGGCAATATTTTCACCTCTCCCCAACCGGATGGAAGCAACCGCTGCTCGGTGCTAAACGAACCATTGCGCTAGTAACGTTTACTATGCGGCTCCGCGCGCTTCCTATCGAAGATCCGGACTTCCGTCGTTAAACGGTATTTAATTTGCCGGTGCATAAGCCACGGGAGAACGACTACTACTACTACTATAAAGTTCATCTGCCAGATCTAGCTTCCCTTACTTCCCGCTAGATGTCACTCTCTCGCTCGCGCTAGAGCAGCTTATAGTAGTGGTACGTGTGCCTGTTACACATTTCACGAGTCGACGATTTTCACTGAAGTTCCTCCCTGTGGTAAAAAGACGATTTTCGTGTTGTGTTGCGAGCAAGTATTTCGTGGTTCGGTGGTTTTCATGAAAATTTGAGACCGATGGAAAAATAAAAGGATAAAGTTGAGCGGTTAAGTGTTTCGCGGGTTAACCGATGAAATTTCGCTCGTCATTTTGCAATCGAGAGTATATGAGAGAGACAGAGAAGTGGTTAAGGTTGTATTTTTTGTGGTTAGACGTACCTACTTTGCGCATTTATACGATTTTTATTGAAGTGAAGGGACAGTGAGACGGTGAGTCGATTGGTTTCGATGGAAAAAGTTCTGCCGAGCGTTTGAACATCAAATATTGAATTTTTTATAAAATTCGACATCGTGACTTTTCGTCTAAGCACGATTGTGACTTTTTTTTTGTAATTAAAAACGAGAATTTTTCCATTTAAAAGAAATATGGTCAGAATGCATTTTTCAATAATGCTATTTCCATCAAAATTTCCAACATCACGCATGTAAGTATTTTCATTAAAAATTCACTATCAACTTTAGAAAAGAATAAAGAATGAAAACAATAACCTAGCGTGGTAGTGAAAAGAAAAAAAACTCATTTGTAACAGCTAATGGTAGATTTTGATTAAAATATCCTGGTGAAAAGAGGAGGGCGCCAGTGGTGTTATTGAATGATTTGTTGCCCGTCGAGTTTTATTGAAATATTATGTTGAAAAAGGAACAGCGTCGCGGCAAAGGGACGTGTGGAAACGGAACGGTTATAAAGCAGGAAGCGCGGTAAAAAATTTCGATCCCCATGCGTGTTGGCGCTAACGGTGCCATGCGACCAATATGGGGGAGCGGGTGAAATACTGGATGAATTTTAATTTCAGCTCCATTACCGTTCGTTCATGAAATGTCGTCGATGTCGTTGTTCAATAGCGTGTGCAAATTCGAAGAGGGAACGCTCGTGTCCTGATTAATCTTCATTGGTATAATGAACCGTGAAATTTCGTGTTAACAGAACCAGAGTATTACGTAACACCACTCGTATTACATAATAAATGAGATAGTGGTGTGAAATGAAGAAACAATTGATATTGTTCATTTTTTTGTATCACTTTTCTCTGTCGTTGAAATTTTGTTACAGTGAAAT